GGCAGCAAAATGTTGATTAAAAACATGTGCTTTCATTTTGTCTTCAGACCATTCCTGATTATTTTGATCTCTCAGATTAGAAATTTTTGAAGAGCGAGACCGTCGAAATAATGTTTTGGCTAAATTCCACCATGATTTTTTCGATGCGTTAGTTTGACTTATTTTTTGAAGATAATTTTCTTTCTCAACTTCACATGCCTTTTCAAATTCGATAGTTACTTTTTGATACTTCGCTTTGGAAGATGCTGAGGAATCCGTTTGTTTTTGTTTTCGATGTAAGCGTTTTTTCTGTCGAGAAAGTTGTCTTAACTTCTGAGTAAACCATGGCTGGTCTAATGAAAATATGCGCACTGTTTTCGAGGGAACACATTTATCTACTGCATTCATTACACAATTTTCTAACATTATTACTTTCTCATTCACACAGGTCAAGTTATAGAAGAGAATTGCAATAGTATTAAGCAATTTCACTAATTCGTAGCGAAAATAGTTCCAATCAGTAGCAGAATAGTTATAGATTTTACGTGTCAGTGGTGGTGATAGAGTAGCGTCAGTTGAAAGCACAACTCTGACGATCTTATGGTCACAGTTCACGCACAAAGCGTCCTCTACTTCTACATTTTTTATGAAATTACTTGAACTAGTAAACACCAAGTCAAGCACCGTTTTAGTCATTCCATCTTTTCTAACTCCTGTAGGCTCTTTCACTAATTGTTTGAAATTGAAAATATCAGAAAATTCAAAAAACTTTTTGCCAGCTACCGTTTCTGGATGCGAATTATACCAGGCGTCACTGTGTGCATTGAAATCACCTACTAATATTACACCGTCAAAAGACCCCGTTCGAATAACATCACATATAGTGTCACTTAAAAATTCTATATACTCATCAGTTTGGCCGTTTGAAAGACTCGGGGATCGATAATTAACTGCAAAGAAAATATTTCCTATTTTAGGAAGTACAATTTCGAAAAACATAATTTCAAAACGGCTGTCTTCAACAGCAGAAAGTCTTTTTACTGTTAAATGTTCTTTATGATACAAGAGACATCCACCACCTTCACGATTACGTTCTAACCGGTGTGGGGTATAGCCATTCATAGTAATGTCTTGATCTATTATAGACGAGTCTAACCATGTCTCGGTGATAGCAACAAAAGCAGGGTCTGACTGGTCACACATTGCCTGAAGCAATTCAAATTTTGTCAAAGTAGAGTTAAAAAGTTTGGTGGCTTTAGCAGTTATGCTTCGGATATTTAGCACCAACGTTTCCATCGAAGTTGTCATACCAGCAGATTGCCTGGTTGTACTAACCATAATAGTACAGAATTACAGTAGAACGCTCTTCAACGGTCTTACTCTGAGAACACATGAATGATGATACATAGTATGTAACACTCAAGATTGTGAAACAATAAAGGTATTTTTTTTACAGTGATGTTCAGAATGTGTATAGATGACAAAGATTCCTCTTATTTTTAAAAATGGGGAATAAGATATTTATGAATGGAATGAAGACGGAGCAAAATTATTTCGCCGTGGGTTTTGGTGTGAAAACATTTGAAGTATAGCTAAAAGATATAGAGCGAAGTCCAGGTTACAAACTGATTAATTCAGTTTTTCTTACTTTCAAAAGTTTAACACAGGAAATCGTTTTGGGGTTTATAAAACACATTTTTTCGTCTTTTCGTCTTTCGTATAATTTGTTTAGTTTTCTTGGTTGAAGTTTTGAAATTTAAGTTTAGGTATGGTTTTGTAGAGAATTCTACGGCGGTTCTATTGCTTTAAGGGACCTAAGGAACAGGAGCCAACAAAAATACGGAGATCGACATTATTTATGTTGCACCCGCTATTGTTTTTATTTCCTCTAGTGGATAGTTTGAACATAATCTACAGATAGTTCAATTTGCACCAGTTGAAATCTAAACTTCAACTCTTACTTTTTCTTCGAAGTAGTCGAGTTTCATTCAATTTGCTAAATTAGTTTATTACTAAAACTAGAAATACATGTTCATAAATAAATGAAATAAGAGTTAGTGTTCGTCGAATTTGGGTAATATTGTAAGTCGGTTTCTTGCTGCTTGTGTCTCTTTCGCATTGTTGATTTCGTCTCGTCAACTTTGTCACCTAGATTACAAAGAATAGAAACAGCAACATAGCATCCAAACATTCTCTTTCAGTGATTGTGCATTTTCGACCAAGCATAAACGACATGTATGTCAAAGAACAAAAATGGGTAGCTTTCGGACTGTTAGAAAGCAAGCATTTCGGACACCAAAACAACAAAGCCTTACAGGTTCTCGAACTTCAGGTGATCAACTGATGCAAGTTCATTCCAGAGCGGAGAAACGTAAGGAAACGTTACTAACGAATAAATCGCAGTTTGGACTATCACGCTGACAGTTTGACGATTTTGCCATGCTGTTCGCCTAATTAATAGGAGTTGCATTTTTTGAAACTATTCATTAGTTCTTTTGTGCCAAACAACTATTAAAGTTCAAAATTCCCATTGCGTACTTATTAAAGGGGGAAGAAACCCGTCCTTTCTGCCCTTAAAGTGAATCACTATCCTAAGCGATCGGGCAGAAGCAAATACATGGCAGAATTTAGATCTAATTATGTATGCAGATAGCAGACACAAAGCGTGTAATTGCTTTTGAAGTTTTGAACGTGCACTTGAAAAAAGCTTTCAAAATGAGTCTTACAGGTAGGGTAAAACAATCCCGACTGACTCACCATTTTACGGGCAGTGTCGTGACACCAAAATCGCGTGTATGATCTGTGACGTAGTTCACTTTGTCATCTGGAACAGCCAGCTGGAGATTGGGCAAACGACGGATGAGAGTAGCAATGGCAATTTGAATCTCAGCGCGTGCTAAATGCTCCGCAACGCATTGATGAATACCATCGCCGAAGGCAAGATGAGGATTTGGTGCACGGTGGATGTCGAAGCGAGTTGGATCCTTGAAGACAGACTCGTCCTCGTTGGCTGACGCATTCAAAGCCCAGACGCCTTCGCCCTTCTTGATTGTCTGACCTCCGACTTCCACATCCTCTATGGCTACTCGACGAGTGGCAAACTGTGAACCCGTGAGATAACGTAGTATTTCCTCTACTGCACCTTTGATGAGAGATGGATCTTGGCGGAGCTGGTTGAGTTGATCAGGGTGTTGAAGGAGCGTGAGGGTGCCGAGGGTAATCATGCTCGCTGTCGTCGCGTTGCCGGCAACCAGAAGAAGAAACGACATGGCGACCAATTCATCATGAGTCAACTGGCCAGTTCGGACTTGCTCCTTCGCTAGACGACTGATTATGTCGTCGCTCGGTTCCTTCTCCTTTTTATCCACCTAGACGAAAACGATAAGAAGAAACAGTTACAACAAACAGAAAAATGGACAAAAACACCATTTTGGTTAAAGACTGCTGTTTTCTTCTGTCTGTTGGACGTCAAAGCTGACATTTGGATGTACTGATCGATACTCATGCTAATATGCACACCCGGAATCAAAATTATAACCGGTCCAAATATAAGAGGCCGGACCGGGTCAGAAATCGGTTTAAACTGGTGAAAAACCGGCAAAAGACCTCCCGGTTTTCAAAACCGGTCAATCATCGTACGGTTTCAACTGGCAATAGACCGGTGGATACCGGCCGGTCTAAACTTTTACACTCGACCGGATCGAGCCGGTCAGTCTACCGGTCCGGTTACAACTCTGTCCGGAAATTCTCAGGACGGAAGTGGAAATCCTTCAGAATGCGATCAAAAAGTAGGTATCGCTGAATGACAGATGATTTCGACAGAAAATAGATTATGTCCTACTGTGCTCGAGTATTGTCTCGAATTCATATAATGACTGAGATGCGCATGTGGCATTTTCGTTTTAGAAAACTGCATCCTGCAGTTCGGACTTTTTTTGGCATTTTGCATTTCGAAATGCAAAAGAAACTGATCATGCAGTTCAGAATCCGAAAAGAGATGAATCTTCATCTCGAAAAGAATTTGGCATTTTCAAAATGAATGCTGTATTTTTTTGTCTTTTTAAATGCAAAAACCATGAAAGTGAGTAACGAAATATCATTTCCGGTTTAACAGAGTGGAGGCCTGTGATGTATTTAAACAATTTCGTGTCGGATTGTGCTGGATACGGCTACATTATTCGGAATAGCTATTGACATCACGGTTGGTGCGAAGAAGAGCTGTTGGCACTACAGAGTGGTGACACTAGTGGGCTTTCGACAGCTAGTGGCGGTGACATAAGGAACTATTGATACTTCCAGCATTTAGCAAGCGCTAACCTTGCCATCGAAGAGGTGTCAAGAAAATCTGTTGATACCTACAGGTGTTAGCAACAGCTATTGACACCACCGGGCTTAGAGATGGCAAGAGGAGCTCTTGATGTTGTCCAACATACGTTGAGCACAACGAAACTAATTTAGGGCAACTCATTGAATGTTTGTTCCTACAGCCTCTAAGCATCCAGGTATCAATAGCTTTTGCTGACACCTCCTGTAGGTGTCAATAGCTTTTCTTCATATGTCTTCGATGGCAGACGGAATTAGCTCTAACTTTCTGTAAAATTGTTTGTTCTTTTAGGTAATAATGAGAGGATTTCATTTTGACTTTCATAATGGGGTTCTGGAAAATCTGGATTTTGAGCTTACAGGTCTTGGGAAAGTTTTTATAAAACATTCTACAATAATTGAAATTTTTATTCAACGCGTTCATAGAATAGAGCACATTGCACTCTATCTTAAACTTATTTTGATAGAAAAAGAAATTTTATTTAGAGATTTTGAGAGGGTTTTCGCTGAAAAACCAAGGTTTTCCGGAGACCTTCCTTGTAGCAAGAGCTGGAAAATTAAAATTTTTTAATTTTTTGTTTTGGACCTGCTAAACTATGTAGTGCAAATGTACGAGGTTGCCAAAATTATATTTCAATAACTTAAGGTTTCCTAGGGCTTTTCTATAAACCTCCTAAGGACTTTGCAACTGTCAAAATAAATATTGAACCTAAAATTAAACTTTTTTACTGACATAGTCCGAAGTGTCCTCTACAAACTAGATCAAAGCGACATCTTAGAAATCCATGATTCGGGACCTATAGACGTTTTTCCTGAAGCCTTAGCACTCATATGCCGTTACGTTTGGAACTATCGAAAATGAATGAAAACATAGGTGCCACACAATAAGTTTAAGATAGAGTGCAATGCGCTCTATTCGATGAGCGCATTGAATACAAATTTCAATTATCGTAGAATGTATAAAAAGAATGAATAAAAATGTTCCCAAGACCTGTAAGCTTATAGGCTTAGAAATGTGCTTCACAAAAAAGAAAAATCAACCGTGGATTCGGTCTATGTGGTGGTGCTTTCAGTAAAAGTCCCATAACTTCATCAAAACAAAAC